GTTCACACTTCAAAACTCTTATAAGCAAGCAAAAAAGAAAGCTAGCAAGTATTGTCAGATTCATAGAACGTTTGGTAGAAGTTTGGCCAAACAAAGGTGCTATATAAAAACAAACAATAAGAATACCGTGAAAGGGCATGCTCCAGCGTGTTACACCAAATACTTTTGGGCTACAGTACTCAAAGTTATACAAGTAAACCGTATGCCCATTATCCACCATATCCTCAGCATAGTCATGGACGCCATTAGTCACGAACAGATCACTAGCTATCTGAATCACTACAGTTCTTAAAGAATCCAATGATTTAAAAAAGTGTTATTTGGTCTCCTACGCATTCACTATCTTACATAGCACTCACTATATAATACTGTTTTGTCGTGGCCATATCGTAAAATTTTTAAAAACAAGTTAACCTTGAAGTAGGCACGTTTTATTTCTTCCGGTTTACTTTGTTCTGTAAAATAAAGATGTTTTGCTGCTCGTCTGATTTCAGGATAATCGTCACTGTATTGATCTAGTGGTATATATTCGTTCAAGAGATTTTCCGCTTTCTCAGCATTGTATTTGGATTTGCTGTTGAAAGCTGAAAAGTAGCACATTCATTTTTCACTAGACAACTAAGTCCTAAATTCTTAAAAAGCTTTTTTTACATCTGGGCTTGATATACTTCTTATGACCACCTGGTTTACTTACCGTAAAGTAATACTTCGTAATCAGTTGCTCCAGTTAAGCAAAACTTTGGAGGTGTTTTTTTTCGCAATTCCAAAATTGGTTCCGGAATGAAGTCACCGTCAATTACTGGGCCAAATGCCAGTCCGGCAATATTTGCTTTAAAATTTCTTCTTGGTAATCCTAGCGCTAATACTTTTGCTGGTTGTCCGCGCAGGAATTTCATAACTGATTCACTCACTACTTCTTCTGTGGCTAAAATTGTGACATATTTTGCCATTTTACCAATCTGTTTATTGAAGCCATCAAGCCTTGCACTGATCAGATAAGAGTCGGTATTTTAAAATAAAAAATTATTTATTAAAAAAGTAGATATTTTGTTGCAGTGATCATTAATAGAAGGTGATGTAGCAAGTAAAATGATGTAGTGTAAGTACTGTTCTACTGGTTATTGATAATAAAATATTACCGTTTTCTGGAATCTGCCAACCAAGAGTGTATGCATGAGACACCAGCGCATCGCGAACCCTACGAACATCTCGTATAGCCCAAGTACAACTTGCTGAACCGCCCATTGGTATTACCTTACTAAACATTCCTACAACGTGAAATACCTAAACTTAGTAAAAAATGTCTAATCAGTTATAATTTTAAAAGTTTTTAAAGTCTCTTTTAAAGTTTCTCATTTTTTAGACAAATTATTGTACAAACTTTTTACTTCGCAAATTTATATTTCAATTTTCAAAAAGTTAAGAAAACATTTAAAAAGAAATAAGTGTAAAAAATTCAGATTAGAAATAAACAAGTAATAAACATTTTTAAAATACTCTGATCACAAAAATTTTTTGAAAGACCGCTACTGACCGACAGATACACTTAACTACATTGGGAGTTTTACATTGATCCAAGGGGTAGAGTCAATGATATAACTACAGAAAGCAAAAGTCACTGGTCTACAATTAGTCGTCAACCAAGCTTTTCGTTTAGTTGTTTAGTTGCGTCTGCTAAGATTTTAGTTTGATAGTTTGATCAAAAGTTTACATATAATTGTCATCATAAAAAGTGCTTTGATTAATAAATTTTGAAAAAAAGCTAAACTTTTTTCTTCAAAACATAAATTTGTCGCAAAAGCATTGCAATTCATAAATATTAAAAAAAATCAAACTGAAAAAAATAGGTTAGTTAGAAAGATGCTGTTGAAAAGCATTATTATTTATGTTTTGTTTACCAGTGGGGAGTCCTATTTAAAAATTTGGTGTTCAAAATGTTACTGTTGAAATTTTAATGCCAAAAAGTTTGATGCCTGTTAACGTTTAATTCAGAGCTATATTATTGATGGAACGTTAAAAATAAATTTTTTGCCCACGTACAAAAACAATGGTATTTTAACCATTTGGAATACGAAAAACATAGATTGAATACCCCGTGTATACGGTGACAACGAAAGAATATCTGCACAAACTGCTCCGGCACTTTGCCCAAAAAGAGTTATATTGTTCGGATCTCCTCCAAAATTCTTGATGTTATTTTTAATCCATTGTAAAGCAAATGCTTGATCCCAAAGACCAAGATTTGGAATGCAGTGTTTATAACCGGTAGCTGGGAATCCTAAGATGCCCAACCGATATTGTATCGTGACAACAATTACACCTTTTGAACATAGATATCTGCAATTGTGTTTATCAAGATTATGGCAATTCAAAAATTAATTGTTTCAAATGTATATATGTTAAGTTTAACAGATGAGAAATGAAAATAGATTATTTTTAGCATAATTAGAGCTAGTCTGAAAAAATAAAATGATATGAACAAACTGAAGAAAGATAAAGTAAAAGAGTAATAAAATAAAGGTGAAAAAGTTAACGAAATAAAAATAGACAAGTTTTTAAATACATGCAGAAAAATTTCTATTTTTAAAATAATTATCACTAAGTTTAAAAAAAAAAGACGGCTTGAAAAAGCTAGAAATTAAATAACTGACTTGGATATTCCATGATAACCGTAACTGGCAGCTGATTGTGTAGTAAATCCACCCCCGTGTATCCATACCAAAACGGCTCTTCCGTCTTCCTGAAAATCTTCATTTTACAGTCTATTTGTTAAAGTATATCAGCAGTTTTAAAGATTATCAAATTTATGCTAAAACAACAAGTACACAAAAATGGAAAAAATTGATTTGCCTGTCCCTCATAAGAATCCCATTCGGGAGCAAAAATATTGAGATACAGACAGTCTTCGCTGATTGGCACTTGAGATGACAAACGATCAAAGATATTTTCAATTTGTGGAGCCCTTGGAGCATAGCGGATACAATCCTTAACATTTGGCCAACTGTCTGGTGGTTCTGG